GAGAAAGTGAGAAAGCAAACCACCATTCCGAAAATTGAACCGTGGTTCCCATTTGCCATGTGGGAGTCCAGTGCCTTAACCACCACACCACCTGCTGGCCCCCAATATAGTCTGATTAAATTGTGCCTTCTTGAAGTTACAGCTTTCTGAACTCAATATGCTACTTTATGCAAATAACATGCAGATGAGAATGCAGTGTTTTAAAAACCCTACTGAAACAAGGCTAGAGCACCACAGACTAAGTTATGGTTAGCACTCTAACTTGAATTCCTTCACAATTGTCAACATTGATTTAACAATTAAATGCTGCACCAGTGATTCATGAATGAATTCTTCCAAGTCCTTTTCATTCAGGACCAATAGGTACTCTGTGAGCCTCACGTGTAGTGAATTCAGTGGCAAACCACTCTAGAAGCTACACTGAGCAAGTGCTTCATCTCCCACTCCCTGGTAGGTCACCTCATGTCTGTCTCTGTCCTCTTCTCCCCTCGTGAATAATTAGCTGGCAGATCTGGTGGTCAGACAGGTGCTTACCAAAATGAGGGCATGATAAACTTGTGGTTTGCTTTCTTTTAGCTTTGCAAATAAGCAGCCCTAATATCCCAGCAAGCCTTGGGTCCCTCTGGTCCCCAAAGTTGTATATTCCCAGCTGATGAGGCTAGCAGGACCATTTTGTTTGCACTACCCTTCACAACATGCACAGGCAGCCTCGGTTTAGTCTCACTTATATTCTACACCAGCAGAAAACGGCTCAGGGAGGTCTAGTGGTACTCCTTGTCTCCAACTTCCTCTAGAGCTCTACAAATTTAGGATCAATAATCCAGAGCAGCATCATCAAATAAAAATGTACTTCAAGTCACAAATGTGAGCCACAGATATAATTATAAACTTTCTATAAAACTAGAAAGTTTCTGCTTTCCAAAAAGTAGAAATAGGTAAAAATCTATTTTAATATGCCCAGCCATGGTGGCACAGGGTATAATGCCCTACAGTGCTGGAAGCCATATGGAAGACTGAGGTTAGGTCTCTATGGACCTGAATATGATGGGCATGCGCCTGTCTTCCTGGTTGGCTAGGACATGGGGAGGTTTATCGCATGAGAGCCAACCAAGGGTATTTGTCTTTCTCTTGTCTTTCTCATGAATAAACTTTTAAAAAATCTATTTTAATAATATACTGTGACCCAAGATATCCAAATTATTAATGTCATTTCCATTTGTAATCAAAATAAGAATGATTCACAAGTTATTCTGCATTCTCCCTCCACCCTATTCCAAATGAAACCTTCAAAATCTGGTGTCCCTTTTATACTCTGTACATTTCACTTAGGATTAGCAGCATCTGAAGGGCTGAGTAGGCACATGCGGCTAGTGGCTACCAGACTGAACAGCCCAGAGCGGGAGCCTTCACTTCCTAATCAGTTTGTTTACTTGCAGCAGGAGGCTGGAGATGGGAGGCAGGAGAAAGCTAGATCTCAAATGCGTGCACTGCCTGTTTTTGCAGACTGTTTATCTTTGCAGTAATATGAATAACCATCCCATTCTCTTTGCCTACTTATGTAATTAATTAGCATTTATATAGCAGTTTATGTTTGCCAAGTGCTTTATTGATATAGTTGCCAGTATATTTATCTACTTGCATGTTATACTTTCGTGTGTGCCTACCTGTGCTAATTACTGCTATAATTATTGAAGTTATTTAAAAATACAACTCGTAGTTACCTTCAAGAACACCAGTGACCATTTTAATAGTAACTATAAATTCCATTTTCCCTCTCCAAATTCTGTCTACTTCACAAAGAGATTTTATACCTCCACCCGATATTCTCCAAGTTCTTGGTCTGCCTCAGAGTGAAAAATGCATTTAAAAGCAATCTAGTAATTGTCTTTTCCTCTTTGTCAGCTTAAATTTCATATGAGTGAGATAGAAACTTAATGGCATTTCTTCCAGGAACAACAGCCTTGAAATACTCAACATTCCAAAGCGAAAAAAAGATAATTACAGATAATGATCACCACCATCAAATAATGCTATCTCTAATATCGAATATCATTTCCTATTCCTAATCCAAATTTCTTTCTGACAAGCAGCAGAGTTTGGGAGCAGGAGGAGGGCCAAGAACACAGGCAGGCAGAGAGCAAGTCCCTGTGCCCTGGTCACCAGGTTACATGATGTCCTCCTGGTCTCTGCCCTCAGTATGGTGAGGCTGGAAGCCATCTGGGCTTGTTGAAGAGGCTGACAGGGACAGGCAGAATAGAAAGGTGGAGAAGCTCAAAAAAGGCAGTTCTGAGGTACAAGAAAGGAATTGCGATGCAGTCGGGAGATTTGAAAGAACATTCCACCTTACCCATTCCCCTCCCCATCCTTTCACTCCCTTCCCCCAAATCAATGAGGGGAAAAAATTACAGTGCTCCAATTCATTCCGTGGTTCTGCTGCTTTCAGTGATTGGAAATGCCAGGAAGGAGAATGATATACATCATGTGATGAAAGGAGAGTACAAAAATATTCACCAACAGCTATGAAACGCAGCTGCCTCCACTGCAAAACCAGGCTGCTCTTGAATAGAACACAGCAACATCACCCAAGAGACTCAAGACCAACTCCCGCTCCAAAGCAATTTCGTGAGCCCAATATTGGGGATTAGAGACGAACACGAGAGATCTTATGCCACAAATCACTGCATAGCCAATGCTTCTGCTACCTACTCTGGCCTCCCCTGGGGAAAATCATTAAGCCTCTTTCTGTCTCTCTTTAAAATGGGAACTAAATTAGTAACTTACCACAAAGGAGTGTTTTCTTAATTACTTGCGTACAAATTGCTTGACATTATTGAATGAAAGGTATCAAGGAGAATGCAAGCTATTACCATGATTATTTTTGTTCTAATATTAAGCAGCAGAGCCTTTTCTATCTCTGGATTATGTTTCAGTTCAGTGATACTTTAGGGAATGGCTTCCTAAGGCTCTGACGGCCATTAGTACAAGCAGCATTTCAAAGGCAAATCAAGAGAGGCCAGCATCTCAAGGCGGAGGCTGCTTTGATGTGGAACTTCAACTGTGGGGGAAAGCAGATTTGGGAGAGGGAGTGTTGGCAGAGGTGGTGACCTCATCCTGGTTGATCACAATTCGAAACCTTTTATCTCTTGTATGCACTCCTTTTTTCTTTCCTTGTGGGTCAGTCTCACAGACGTGGTTGTGGGAGCTAGCATTGTCGTAAGGATAGGGGACTCAGACCGGATCATAGGTATCATGTATTAATACGGATGGACACAATATTGCCTTGCTAGAGACTATGAGAGGCAAGCTTTCTTCTCTGTTACCTCTAAGGGCATTGGATGAAGGGATGAGAGCAAACTTTCCAAACATAAGAACGGTAGTTGCCTTGAAATCCTACCAGGTTCCAGGGCTTGCCCCTCTGCTGCCAGTCTTACCTGAAATCCAACACCACAGTGAGCACTACTCATTCAAAGTGATAGGGTCCTGTCCTGGAGGAGACTCTGAGTCAAACCCCTCTGCCCAGGAAATTTGAATTAATAGTATTGACCCTGATTTGCTATTGCAACTTTGATGCACCCCGTGATGGTATCTGCATTAGGATTGTTGAGGAGAGAGAGTGACATAGTATGGTAATCATGCTAGAAAATTGCATGGCCCTAGAGTAAGGCCTCGGAATGCTTTCTATAGAATTCCTCTGATCAGAAAGTTTGCTCTGTTGGAGATAATACTCTAAGATACCTTTGAATAATTAGACTAGTGCCATAGGTCAGTGGGATGGTAAGGAAGAGAAGTCTGTTACTCATTGGCTCTTACACCACAAATCACTGCATAGCCAATGCTTCTGCTACATACTCTGGCCTCCTTTGAGGAAAATCATTAAGCCTCTTTCTGTCTTTCTTTAAAATGGGAGCTAAATTAGTAACTCTCATAGAATTGGATCTCTCTCATAGAGTTGTTTATTGCTAACAAAATCTTTCTTATGAATTCCCGTATATTATTTTTGCTATTAATGTCTTAATGATAGTGACAGGAGAATGTTTAAACCCCATTTAGCTTCTGACTCTCTATGAGGGAAAACCATTTCTCCTCCCATATGCAATTTTCCGTCCATTCATTAATTGTACTGCTGCTTTCCTAAGTTTATTTACTGCCTTCTAAATATGTATCTTAATTTACACTTTGAGTCTCATGGGGAGCCTATCAAATGTAAAATCTTATATAACAGCAGAAGCGGCCACAAATATTTTAACATCCAGGGCTGCTCCTGAATCCTGATTTTGCAGATGGCGTGCCGTTCATTTTATAGCAGCTATTGAAAACTAATAAATGCTGTCCACATCACTCAGCATTGTCAATAATCCACCAGATTGTGTGCCCAGGGATGCTGGGGCAGCAGGAGCAGCTCTGGCCCTTCCCTAGCCAGCCTCCAGCTGCAGACTGCAGAGCCGCTTTGCCTTATCAGCTGCCACAGTTCTATTCAGGTCAGCCATGAGGAGACGACTTTTTGAACTTCTAATCTGCCAGTGGAGAGATACTTGCAAGAGGGTAATAGTTACACAGAACACGCAGGGGAGGGAGGTGAGCTCATCCTTCCCCTGCTTATTGTATTCATATCCCTCAAATGCAGGAGGTGCTCAGAGAAGGAGAAGTAAGGAAGGGGCAGTGAGGTGACCAGCAGATTCGGTGCAGAAGCTGGCCACGAAGTCATGCCTCCCTTATCCTAGGCCTTATTTTTATTCCCTTTTGGTGAATTATCTCTTTAAGAAAAACAAAATTATCCCTTTAAGAGAGAACAGGATTAGAAACAGAGTCAGTGAATTTATCACTTATTCTTCATTTTGCTACATAACTATAGAGTCTCTACTATGTTCTAGGCGCTGTGCAGGATATGTCTACATTGATATGGGGTCTTCAAAAAGTTTGTAAAAATGAGTATTATGAAAAAGGTATATGTGGATCTCAAAATTTCTTGTACCCAAATAAACCCATGCTTTAATTCCATATTATTTTAAAAATAAACTTTAAAAATTATTTTATTTATTGTTTTAATTTGCTATAGATCATGTGCACTCACTGGAGAGAGACAGAGAGAGAGAGGAAAAGTGAGAAAGCAAGCTGCCAGGTCCAGGACTGGAGCCACAGTCAGCCATGTGGAAGTCTAGTACCCTAATCACCACAGCACCTGCTGGCCCATCACAAACTTATTTTTTAAAAAGGTTTTCATTTGGGACCAGCAGATGGTGTGTAATGGCTACATCGCTGGACTCCCATGTAGTTGACTGCAGTTCAAGTCCCAGACCTGGTGGCTTAAACTCATTCTGAATGCGTGTGCGTGTGTGCCCAAGATCCTGAGAGGAGAATGGAGGAGAAGGGATTGTGGCATGGCCATCCCCCCTGGGGGGGTGATTTCTCGCTTTCTGTCTCTCTATCTCTCTCTGTCTTTCTGGCGAGCGCACACACCCTATAGCAAAAACGTCTCCAAAATATAAATACATGTGTACATACACACATAAATAAATAAATAAAAAGTTTTTTTTATTTATTTCTTCCATGAATAAGAGAAAAGAAAGAAAAAGAGAGAGAGAAAGAAATAGAATGAATCCCCAAAATGTTCTTGATGCTAGGATGCACCTCTAGTTTCATCCAGCTTTGGATCATGGGCAAAGGAATGCCTAATATAATCAAGGAGGTCTTTGGACTTGAACCAGAAAGGTTTCTATGTGAAATTATGAATCCCCAAAATGTTCTTGATGCTAAGATGCACCTCTAGTTTCATCCAGCTTTGGATCATGGGCAAAGGAATGCCTAATATAATCAAGGAGGTCTTTGGACTTGAACCAGAAAGGTTTCTATGTGAAATTACCTCACAGAATGTCACAATATGCCACCTACGTAATGTCAGGCTTCCCCATTTTCCATGAACTTTTTGAAGTCACCACATGTATCTAAGTTTCAGTAAGATTTCATTTTCTAGTAGGCCTGCTTTCTTTCCTCCTTCTTTTTCTTTCTTCTCCCTCCCTGTCTCCCTTCCTTTCTTCAAGATTCATGCAAAAATATGTGAGATCCATAGCCTTATACATGTACATTTAGTTATAGGTTATATAATGATTTCTAAATGATCCCTACTTTTAAGGAAATCACAACCTAGTGAATCGATATTATAATGGTAGCAAGTCTACACAGTAGAAAGTAGTAAGTACTCTAAGAGGGTGAAGGAGGAGGGAGAGGAAGAATATTTTCAGACTCCAAGAAGGTAAATTAGAAGTTAGGAACCAGAGAGACCTTGGGACTGGACATTATGGGCAGAAGGTGGTCAGTGGCCTTATAGAAGTGCTGAGAAGTCAGTTAATGTCCATCAAAGCAGAGGCCAAGTTTCTCTTCTTTTTTCTGCCCCTCAGGGAGCTGGTTCCTCTCTTGTGAAATCTTTGGTTTTTTTTCTTTTACGACTGCCTTTGCTGTTTCCTTGAACTGGATTTCATCTGGATGCAAATTTAAGAGGAGCAAGAGGGTAATCTGCTTTTAGGCAGTCCCTGGAGATGGTCTGTTGAAGGCTGGGCAGAGCGGCGCATCAAGCTGGCGTGATGAGTTGTGTTAGTTCAGAGAAGTCAGAGTGTATCTGGTCCCAGAGCAACTTGGAGGCAGATGAGCAAGTAAATGGTCCAATCACGTTTTGCCTTCAGATTCATTCAAGTCACCTGGATCAGAGTTACAGGGAGAAAAAGCCTGCATGTAGGCGCTCTTTGCTATGTAATACCCTGGCCTTACATTGCGTCTTTTAAAGATGAAAAGCTTGACACGTTATTCACATCCCCCTCCCCCCATTTGTTAAGGTGTTTCATACCTAGAAACAAATTCAAACTGACCTTGGATAAAATGACATCCTTCTGTGGGCCTGCTTGTTTGCCTCGTATAAAAAGAAGTGAAATACATGAATAATCATTTAAAAATGTAAAACACACAAAAAAACAAATTATGCCATTGCCCTTGACAGAAAAGAGGTCATCTTTTCCAATGTTTCTGCCATAACTTTCATCCCAGACAGGGTCTTCCCACAGAAAGGGAGCCCCTTGATTTCACAGATGCATGTTAGATAATGCCTCGGGCTGTGGTTTGATGGAAACACCCTCCTTGAGCTGAAACACTGCCCATTAAGCTGGGCTCTGGAGCCCTTTAGAAAGCTTCTAGGCCTTGTTTTAGGGCAATTGACAGGAGCCAGGAACATGGTAGGAAAACATATTTTGGGGAAAGTAATCACAAAAAGTTAGAGTTTGAAGGGACAAGAAAGAATATCAACTCAGCCACCTCATTGTGCAGATAAAGAGACTGAGAAGAATTAGATCATTTGCTCCAGCTCCTGGCATTTAGTTGTCAGTACGGCTTGGATGAGAATCCAGAAAAGGGTGGGAAAATGGCAGTCATTCATTATCTTAATCCTTTTTGTGCTGCCATAATAGAATACCACAAACTGAGTTCATTTATAAAGAAAAGATTTATTTCTTATAGTTCTGGAGACTAGGCAGTCCAAGATCAAGGGACTGACATCAGAAAAGGGTCTTTATGTTGTGTCATCCCATGGCATGCGGCAGAAGGGCAAGACATTGTAAGAGTGCTCAAGGGGACCGAACTGGTTTGTCTATAAGAAACTCACTTTCACA